GTTGGCACTGAGAGAGAGAGAGAGAGAGGGAAAAAGAGAGGGAGAAAGCAGAGGAAAGAAATCAGGGGAGAGAGAAAGCAACCGTGGATGGGAGCCCTGTTACCATTTTTTGAGAACATCTTCACCTTTAAGCCACATTTCTATTACCTCATGACAACTAACATCAGCCTCCAAGCTCCCATCATGAGCTCAAACCAATTTACTGGACAAACTGTCAAACACGACAGTTTAAAAATCCTGGCCTACTGACCTCCTGGAAAATTCTAAGGTGATATCAGAAAACATAACCAAAATCTAGCAGTAACAGGTACCCTTAGATTCCTCCTTTGTTCTTCTCATTCCATTAGCATACATAAAAATACAGATTTGTCAAAACCATTGCATAAGAAGCACAGATGAATTTTTCTGACCCATAAAATGTTTCAAGCAACTAATTGTTTTCCAGGTCATACAGAAACATAAGTTATATTTGATTTCGTCTTAAAAAGCACACAGAACCATAAAAAATAATCTCCCAGGCATAGTAATGCTCCCTTCCCTGGAGGCAAATCCCTTCCTACCTCCTACTTCCACACCCATCCTCCTGACCAATCAAAAAAAAATCCAAACAACCAAAAACAAATAAACAATTCAATAAAGCCCTGCAATATTAATCTTAAATTAGATGTGAAAAATAAACATGCAAGTTAGTCAAAAAGAAGATATTAATTTAAAAGAGTTAAAATCCATCTACAGATGTACATAAACTAACTAAAGTGGAAAAACATAATGGAAAGTTGAAGGGACAACAGGTATCTAATGGTACCTGCTGGCAAAGAACAAGCCTTCTGCAAATGATAATTGATATACAGGGTAAGCCAAAACCAGAAGCTCTAGAGAAGGCTCTCCATCAAAAGGGCATTAAAAGGAATTAGCATTAAAAGGAATTAATGAAAAGGCATTAAAAGGAATAAGTTTACCAGAAAATCACAAATAGCTCACCACAGATTAAGACAGCCATCCTAATATGCAAAATATTTTCCATCAGCAAGCATACTTCTGCTTCCCTAACTGTATGGTTACCCAAGACTAAGTAGTTCCCATCTGAGAAACCTAAAACAATTTAGGTAAATGAAAAAAAAGACACACATACACTGCCAGCTCTTCCAGGCTAGTTCAGGCAAGCCAGGCTCTGCTCAGGCAAGGACAACTTTGGCACGCCCTATGTTCTTAATACATTCCTGCCTTCTCATAGGCAGGAAAGATAGATTAGGAATAGAATAGTAATATTTGCCACACAAGCTATATCAATGTTCAAACCTTTAATGTAAATACAAGTAATGGAAAGTTTTTGCCAGTAATTTAGACTGTGTTAGTATTAATTCAGTTTAATTCTCATCTAGGTGTTTTGACACACAATATGGCAGGTAGGCACCAATCCTAAGATGCCAGTTCAGGCCCCTGGAATCACAGAATCATAGAATCCTTAAGGTTCGAAGGGACCTCCAGAGATCATCTAGTCCAACCTCCCTGCACACGGAGGATCACCTAGAGCATATTAGACAGGATTGCATCCAAGTGGGTTTTGACAATCTCCAGAGAAGGAGACTCCACAACCCCTCTTGGCAGCCTATTCCAGGGCTCTGTCACCCTCACTGTCAATAAATTTTTCCTTAAGTTCCTGTGGAACTTTTGGTGCTTCACTTTGTGTCTGTTTCCTCTAGTTCTGTCAGCGGCCACCACTGAAAAGAGGCTGTGAAGCCTCAAGCATCAACAGCAGAGACAGGCACAGCATGACTGTCACCATCCAGGGCTGCCAGCTTTCACCTGGACAGCTATTTCTTTTTATTGACTCAGACTTTATATAAGATAGATAGATATGCGTGTGTGTGTATACACATATGCATGTATGTATGCACACCATACTTACACCCATTTTAAGCAGCACTTTCTGTTATCTAATAGCATAAGTGTAAGAAAACCTTGAACACACACACAGGGGTGCACCTTATAAATGAATGCTGGTAGCTAAGCAAAAGCTAAAGTCTAAACTCTAACTCGATAAAATGTGCAAGTCATTAAAGGGCTACAGGGAGTTAATCAACAGATTGTCTCCTAAAGGAAATACTGCTGTGCTGTCAAACTGGTTCATGGCTATTTTTAATATCTGGGGGAAAAAGTGAAATGGGTCTGATGTTTTTGAAGTTTCATGGGGTTTTGAGAAACCCAGACATCTGCATTTTAATCTTTGGAAAATCCTGAGATCAGCAAGACTATCGTCTGCAGGATTTAACCACAAATTGGACCCACCTCCTAGCAAGTCTAGAAGTCTCATGACTGCTGTAAGAAAACTTTTCTTAATATATACATACATATAATGACAGGGTTTGTGCTGTAAAACATTCATCTTCAAATGATGGCAAGAAAATGATAACTCATTCTTTCTCAAAAACCAAATCACTGCAAATTTAAATAACTACAGTTGTTCACCTGCTTCTTTGCCTCCAATATGGAGGCAGCACTCCACTGGAGTGCTGTGTCAGCCCATTGCTTAAAAAAAGCAAATAGTGCTAAGGCAAAAATGTGCACAGTATTATACTTTTTATCAACTGTTGAATACAAAGTTGAGCTGAATAAGCTCCTATTACTTCTACAGTCATATTTTTCTGGTTACTTTCATTGCGGGGATATTTTTTAAATGCCAAGTATTTGATTCAGTTGAGAGCTGCAGTGTGTATACCAAAGCTTTTGGTTGGTGGTTGCACTTTCTAAAGTCTCACATCTCCCTCTCCCTCCTTCTGTATTTGCAAATCAGTAAAGACCTAAATGTGGGCCTAAACCTTCATGATATCTGGGACGGAGTTGAATGGGACACTGAAATAACTCCAAGGCTGTAAGCAGGGATCTCCATCTAAGAACGTAAGTAACATAATGACTTCCCTCTGGCTACAAAAACAAATAATCATGCTAAATGTTCAGATTAACACACCTCTTCCTAATAGTAATCTACACCACTTTAGCTGTATTATACATTTTCCAGTATTTACTTTGGCTTCCTAAGTTCTCTGTTAATCAAACCTTATTTTTCCACGACACAGGCACCTAACCCAGAATTCTCCAGAAACTGATATGACACAATCCCCCTTAAGCAAATGCAATAAAGCATGGATACACACCCCGTTGAATATTTGCTGTAATTAGTTACTGCTCATTAAAGGGAGAAAATATATCAGTTGTGCCATGCACTGCATCCATGCTGTGGCAACAATACTGCACAGCCCCATAAATAAAAGAGAAAATGTTAAAGCAATTTATGTCACTTCTTTCCAACAGTGACATTCGTAACAGGTATTTTGAACAAAGAGGACAGTGTTTTTCTTTTTTTTTTTTTTTTTTTCTCTCTCTCTCTCTGCCTCTCCCCCTCTCTCTCATCTTCTGCTTTCAGACTGGGCAAATTAACATTGTTTTCTTACCAGAAACTTCTTGAGACACCATAGTTTAAGAATGTTTTTCTGAACATTCATGCTGAAAGAGAAGTTAGCCAGCTACTGAGCTTTGGAAATAGAAAGGCAATGGCACCTCTTTATACACCTTGGAAACAAGCTATCCTGTTACAAGCTACACTTGGTGAAAAGGCAGAGAAGCAGAAAATCTACTCCTTTCAACTCAGAGGCAGCACAGTAAACAGTGCAAAACAGAGCTTCAATTTTATAGGCAAGAACTTAAAAACTTCTTTGACCTGCCTCACCATTATCTGTTCTCACCTACATGCTGCCACCTACATATTCCTGTAGAAATTAGCCATTTTATGCTCATCTTCACATTTCTAAGCCTCTTCTCTCCTGGTGGCCAAGGCTTAGCGGAGCAAAGCTTTAGTTTATTTCACAGAGCAAGGGAACAAAACTAAGAAAATAACTTTCTATATTTTGCAGCAGGCTCAAGCAGGGCTGCCTCACAAAACTGCCCTCAAGCCAAGCAGCTGTGCAATTCAGGGGCTGAATCAGCAGAGGAAAACATTTCTCTGTACTTCCCAGGACACACAGATGCTCTGCTTGATAGCTGCCAGACAAATACTTTTCCAGGAAAAAAATGCCCCCCTTCTCTCTTGCTTCCTCATCTCTCTCCTGCTGTCAACTACAGGAAAGAGCAAACATCTGTCATTAACTTGCATGAGCAAAGCCCAAATGTGAACCGATCACAGCATGAGCTCTCAGCAGTACTATACGATTTCTGCTTCAGGCTGTGACACACAGTGACATTCCTCCCTGACCAGGGACTCCAGGAAGTGAGCTGTTTTCCTTGGACACGGACACGCTGAAATACACAGGTAGTGCCATCTGTTGCAACACAGGGTCAAACCTCCGGTAATCAGTCTTTCTACATTCCCCCATTGTCCTCTTTAGAGGCAAGAAAAGGGCAAAAGCAGCCTTCTGGCTGCAGTTAAAGTAGATTAAAGTTCATTCTTTCAGTACCTGCCTGGCTACTTGGGTTTTGTTTTTTTTTCTTTGATAATGTAGTACAGGCTCCAAAATTGGGAAGAGGTAAAAATCACAATTCTATACAACATTTGCGGAAAACTCAGGTCCAAGCTTGGAATCCCCTTTGGGGCTGCTATCCATTTCCACCACAGATAAGGTCAAAACCTCCTTTGCAGTGCAAAACATTAGGTCTAGCACAAAATTAGGTAGGTATGCTTTCTTTTGCAGTAGAAAGCTATTTCCAGAGTAGTTGGCTACAAGATGTGCACTTTGGAACAAGGGACAACTGCCATCTCAAGATGCATACAGTTTGGGTTTTAGACTTCTCTTCCTCAGCATTTTTTTCATCCTTTGCTATTTTTGGTTTAACACCCATTTTAATGTGTTCACTGCCATCTCTTGTTCCATGTTATTGTGCTTCCCAGGGAGAAAAGTTCAGTGTTTTAAGTCTATTTATGTGAAGACAAAGAAGAAAATAAGTCAATCTTTCAAACATATAAGCTCTTTCCTTTCTTGGCAGACTATATATGTTTCTCTTCAGCTAATCATTATTTTGAATAAAATCAACTGGAGAGACCAACTCCATCAAGTGTGAAGACACGCCCTCACTGATTTGAACACTACGACAGAAGCTGTCTCTAACACAGAGTCTACAAGGCTCAGTGGTCGCTTCCTTCCTGGTCTGTGGTGAACATGAACACTCTCCGGCTAATGTGAGCAATGAATTATCACTTGAAGCTCACACACTTTCCCCTCCTCTTTCCTTTTCATCACCAGTCTGGCAGCAGAGAGGTTCCTACACCCCCTGCCCGAACCTGACTGTAGTGCAGTTGTGTCATGGTGCTCTCATCCTGGATACCTCAGCGGCTGTGCTGGCTTCTGCTTTTCAGACCCACTTTAATTTTCTTCTCCCTTGACAGAAGAGGTTTCTTGGTAGTAATAGTGAATTTGTGATTATGAGCAAGACTATGAGAGAGAAGACTATGAGCAAGACTATGAGAGAAAGGCCAAAATTACGCAAGTGGTTCATATATCTGCTAAAGAATTTACTGCAGCTCTATTCTGAAGTTAAACAAATTCACTCTGAATACTTCAGTAATTGGACTTAGTATTCAGTAAGAATAATTTATCATATCTGATGCTTATTCTAATCACAAATAGTCACAAACATATTTTACAGTCTTTTCTTATAACCACGTAGCAAAGAGATTTGGTGAAAATAAAACTGCTGCCACAGTCCCAATACCTCAAAGTATTTATTTTTGTGTTTCAAATACACTGTGACAGGGCCCTTGTATTAAACTATATTTTTTTATTCCTTGATCAAATTCCTACAAAGGCCAGGACTAGCTCCAAAAATCCAAAAGGCATTGAAAGGGGGTATAGGAGTATTAAATAAGAAGAGCTAGTTTAAAAATATTCAGGAATCCTCTCTCCTCTTGCAAAATAAACAGTTGTATCATAGAATGCCTAAGGTTGGAAGGGACCTCCAGAGGTCATCTAGTCCAACTCCCCTGCACACTCAGGGTCACCTAGAGCACGTGGCACGGGGCTGCATCCAAGCGGGTTTTAAAGATCTCCAAAGAAGGAGACTCCACAACTTCCCTGGGCAGCCTGTTCCAGGGCTCTGTCACCCTCACTGTTAAGAATTTTTTTCTTAAGTTCCTGTGGAACTTGCAATGCTTCAGTTTGTAGCCATTTCCTCTAGTCCTGTCGCTGGCCACCACTGAAAAGAGGCTGGCCCCGTCCTCCTCACTGCCTCCCTTGAGGTATTTATACTCAAGGGAGGTATAAATATCAGACACTGATCAGGTCCCCCCTCAGCCTTCTCCTCTCCAGGCTGAACAGGCCCAGCTCTCTCAGCCTTTTCCTCATAGGGCAGATGTACCAGGCCCCTGATGATCCTCATAGCCCTGTGCTGCCTCATGGTCATCTTGTCTTCCACCATGACACCCAGGTCCCTCTCTGTCGGGCTGCTCTCCAGAAGGTCAGTCCCCAGTATGTGTGACTTCAGAAGTGCTGTGTTCTTTCTATACATGCAGGTAGTCTTATCTAGATGGTATTTCACTCATCATATGCATTCAAAGTCTCTCCATGTCCATGTACCTTTTTGCATTTTTATTGCAAAAAGATGCAGTCATGTCTCAGATCAGCTCACTTAACTGATTTCAGATCTAAATGGCAACCTGAGAGTCACAGCAGTACTTGCTTCCATACAGCACATATTGCTCACATTATTTAGTTATATGAATGCTAGAGATAGATCTCAAAACCAAATAGGGCACACATATAAGTTTCTCCTGAGGTTTCCACCGGTCGTATTTTACTGTAGAAAAACATGGGAAGAGTGTTGCAGGGGCAGGTGGCATAACACACATCTTTAGGTAAGGACTTCTCTTTTGCTCCTCCCTTATTCCTGTTTTCCTGTACCCTGGTACTCAGGCATTTTGAAAAACAAATCTTAAGATTTAGCCTCAAGGTTAACATACAAATTTGACCAATATCAATGTCACAATGAACTGCATTATCAATTTTGTCAGACATGATCATCATCTGTCCCTGAAACACTGTCAACATGCTGCTGGTGGTCTGAGAAATACTTGTATTGTGGCTTGAGAAATACTTGTATTAAATTCTGTTATATTTCCAATCTGAAAGTTTGCATTCTGCATTTAGGGTTGGTAAATGTGTCACTTCTTAATCCTGGTAAATAGTTGGCTTTCATGCAGGTTTGAAAATAACTGAGTTCTGCAGCATGTACACAAAACCGCTAACATTTTAGTATGAGCTAAATTTTTCTTTTTTTTTTTTTAACTTCACAGAAAACTTATTTATCATCCCCCTAGAAAACTAATGGTTATGTTAATGATCTTTAAGTGATAGTTGGCTCAGTTTACTGTCTATAGGAACATGATAATCTCAGTGAGTATTGATAATATTTAAAAGTATGTTTCATTTATTTAATCTTTTATACAAGTATACTTAAAAATATACACATTGGGCTCTTATCCTAGCCAATATTAACTTTTTTTTTTGTAATGAAAGCATATTTACACTTATAGCACATATTTTTCTCAAAAAACACACTCAGAAAATCAACAATAAAAGTGATATACGAAACCCATCAGAAAGGAAAAAAATAAAGAAAAAGAGTATATAAGTAAGTACTGAAAAATGCAACCATGCTAAATTATACTTATGTAAGCAGCTGTTTGAGAGCACACACTGAAAAGAAACTGAATAATAAAAACTGAATCCTGGCTGCTTATGTTACGCATGTAAACTTCTGAGCACACTGAGCGAATTGATATGTTCTGTTATACAAAGGCAAGTACAAACTTAGAGGACTCGTGCGGCTTTCAAACTCTTCATTAGGACCTCTACAACATGCTAAAAGGTTTCTCAAATAAATGATCCAGTAGTCCTAGAATGCTCTATCATGCCAACTTAAGTACAGTAATTGAGGATTTGGTTTAAACAAATCAAAACAAAACAAAAAAAACTCTGCTGCATGTCAGGGTATTGACTAATTAAACTTTAAAAAAATGTTATAAGAAAAAAACTACTAAGACAGCACATTATCTGTGTAATAAATTCGATAGCAATTCAAAGTGCAATATGAATCAAACTATTACTGTGCACCAAAACAGGAAATACATTATCATTTGCTGACAACAGCCTAAATAAATACCTTTCGAAGAATAAGACCATTTACAAGGAGATGTGTTCAACACTTTCTCTTTAAATTGGTATTTAAGTGGGTCACATGCTTTCCTCTTAAGATAGCATTTCATAACCAATATATAGAAACTCATCCTGTCTGCCACACTTGTTTCAATTAAAAATGGATCTTGAAATAGGACAGAAGAAATGAAAGAAGTGGATATGATAGTGGATAGTGGATATGACAGACTGCTGATGGTCTATTAAAAGTTTATGTTGCTCTTTGTACCCAAGAGAAGGTTGAGAGGAAGTAGTGCTTCCAAACCTTCATCTGCTTACAACCTGTTTCTGCAATTTCCTCTTCTTCTGCCTTTTTGTGTCATGTTTCTTAACCCATATACATAGGCTTTATGGAACAGAAGACCACTGTCTAGAAAGCAAAAAAAATCTGATTTCAAGCTTTTATTTGAGCAGCCATCTTTGAATTTCTATTTCAAACATGCTTCTGAAGGTAGGAGATTTCTTCTGAGAGCAACAGAATGCAGAAAATCTGGCTAGGTTTGTTTGCATTTTTTTTTTTTTCCTTTTTAAATTACATTCTGCATTCCTTCCTTCCACCTTAGTAAGTGCAGTTCATCAGTAGTTAATCTTCTTCGGTACTTTTACAGCAATTTATCATTTCCCTCTACTTTAGACTGCATATAGTGCAGTTCAGACTCTAAAATAGCTCAATCCTTTAAGAGAGGTAGAGATCTACTTGGGGCCACCTGGAAATTTTCATTGGCCAACCTCAACTTTCATAAAATTTGACAATTCCTTAATACTTAGGGACCCATTGCCCCCAGTCAAGTAAGACTAAAGTTAGATAGTTAGTTCAAAACCCATCAGGAAAAGAGGTTGAGAAGGGAAATATTGTGATAACATAAAATAAATAGTGACATGTTACCTACCACTTGTACCTCAGTCCAGCACCTCTCGTGGCTTCAAGGGAAGTATTGCAGAATCATTGTCACAGGCTGCCAAAATATGCCTGATCTTCCAACTCATGCAGAATGTGGCACATTATAGCAATAGCTGACAACAGGCATTCACAACAGCTAAAACACAGCAAACAACATTTTATACCTGGCCTGGAGAACAGCAAGACTTTGGGCATCTCCAGCTCCCACTCTCCCGGGCCATGCACTACAATGCACCTCTCCAAACTCTGTCTCCTCAGCTTGTCTCCCTCAAATTCAGAACAGCTGGCAACAACTTTCCCTGCTCCCATTTCCTCTGCGCACATCTCTCTCTCTCCTCCCGACAGATCTCAGCAGCCATGTTACCTCAGTCCACACAGTCCCTCCCTCCTGCTGGCCAGGTCTCCTATGCATGCGCGCACACACACACAAACACACTTCCTTCCTTCATTCTTCTGTCTCTGAAGCTAGTCAATTTTCATGTTCTCATGTTAATTGCTATTGAACAACCTTTCTGGAAAACAAAAGATTTCCCAGAGCATTGGTTTCCTTGGAAATGTTCCCATGGACAACTAAAAGCTGAAATAATAACAACAATAGGAAAATTTCTACATAAGCATGTAAGATTTTTTCAAAAACTACAGAAAAAATCTCTGAGTTTTTTTTCTTTTGCTTTGAGGTTGACTAATAAAATAAAATCAGTCTGTTTTCCCCCTCTAGCCCCCAAAACCTTTACCTCCCAATAGCTGCCAGGAACCAGCATAAAGACTCATGGAGAAAAATCTCACTTCAAACCACTTAAAAATAGCAAGAGGCAGTGACTACTTACTGAGTGCACCCTCAGTCCTAGCAGGGAAGAGCTGCCTGGAAAGGCTGCCGCCCCGGCTTGCAGCCCTGTGTTGTTAAGAGCAGAAAACATTGGCCCATTTCAAGCCACAAAAATTTGGAAGAAAGCTGCAGGTAACCACAAGAAACTAAAGTGCACAGCCAGAAACATAAAGCTTATGACAAAAGTGGAAAAGCTGCCACCTTTGATTTATAGACTGTGAAAGGTCACCATTCTGCCACATAATACCATGGGAAGAAACTTA